TCTATCTATCTATCTATCTATCTATCTATCTATCTATCTATCTATCTATCTATCTATCTATCTATCTATCTATCTATCTATCTATCTATCTCTATCTACCTACCTATCTATCTATCTATCTATCTATCTATCTATCTATCTATCTATCTATCTATCTATCTATCTATTTATCCATCCATCCATCCATCCATCCATTTTCTATCTATCATATTGGTAAAAATAAAGATATTTGGTAGTGGCGCTTTGTCACTACCCTGTCATTGGTGTGGAACCCCAGGGTTCACCTCCTGGGCAAGATCGAATCCCGGTTAGGGCGGCTAGCGCCTTCCAGTAGACTCACCACCCGCAGGAAGGTTCACGAGGAGCTGGTACGGTGCAGTGTGATTAGGGGTGGCGGTTGTAGAGACTGCTACCCCCCGCAACCCGGTGATGGATAAACGGATAAAAATGGATAGATAGATGGATGGAAGATATTTGGTATATGATTTTATTTATTTCAATCTTATTTTAATGTAATGTGTATGTTTTATATCATTATCAGTATTAAATACGTTGTTTATTTAAAGTATCTTCTTCTTTGTCTGCTGCAGGTTTAAGGACATTCAACAGAGGTCATATATGTCCAACTCTAACACCGCTGAGTCTATGCTGCTGTCATGGTTAAAAAACTGCCTCAACACTACTACTTTACTGTTTCCACCGCTGCTTCAGAACTACACTAACGCTGTGAATGGCACTCCCGCAATTGCGCGCCCTGAACAGTCTCAGGGTATTATCTATATCTTCCTGGTCGTCGGCATATTCAGCTTTTTTGTATTCTGCATAATGTTAAGATTTATTCGCTCCAAGAAACTAGAGAGCTCTCATGATCTGTATCACCAGTACATTGCTCACGAATGGAGCAAAAAAGCATCTCGGTCAAGAGCTGCTTTTCATGCCTCAAAAAAACAGGTGTTGAAAATTGAACAGCCAGTTGTCATTTGCAACCCACAAACAACGGTTGAGCTGCCTGAAAAAGAATGATACATTATACCAGTGGTAGCCAAACTTTCTCGGCAGGCCCACTTTGGTCCATAAGAAATTTTTGCGCCCACCGCCCAAAAATAAAACAAAACAGACAAACAAACAAAAGAAGAAAAATTAAAAACCAACGACATACACACTTTTTTTTTTGATTTGTTTTGTTTATTTCAAAGATTTTAAATGTAACTGTTTTTTTTATACATCTCAAACTTGTCCATTTTATCCTAGCATTGCCAACTTTGGTCATTTGGCAGGAGTGAGGTTCTGTGCTACTAATGCTACTCTGAGCAGATCGAATGGATTTTATCCTAGCATTGCCAACTTTGGTCATTTGGCAGGAGTGAGGTTCTGTGCTACTAATGCTACTCTGAGCAGATCGAATGGGTGACAGTAATCTCTTGAGCGAGAATTCAAAATAACAGTCTCATTTACATATGATCAGATATTCATTTTACAACGATTTCAACCAATCTGTTTTTTTTTGCCAGTCTCTTGTTCAACATTTACAGCATTGGACAATATGCTGCATTACGTTTCATTCATTCATTCCATCCATGCCCCTTTTGTAATGGCACTGTGCCCCACTAGGGAGCGCCCCCTTTTTGGAAACCTCTGCATTTTAACAACACAAGATTCTCATTATATGCACAGTATCAAACATTTAAAAATAATTATTTTACAATAATATGAAACAAAACAGTGATAAACTGGTTCAATCCCCAAATCGAAACATTGGAACACAGAATTTCTTCATGCTTTAAAATTAGCGCCACAATATTTTATTTAGGAGGATGCATTGCTCAATATTATCTTCAAAAAAATATATACAGTAGTACAGATACTTGAGTTGTGTGCAGTGTTTGACATCATCCTGTAAAGCAGATGTTGCTAATACTGTCCTCAAGATAAAACTATAAATAGCTGCCATTTTGGAATATGCCAGTGTTGGCATCTTCACACTGGGTGTAAGTAAGCTTTTGAAATATATATTATTTTATTTTTTAATTATGCAACGGTCTCACTCCTAAATACATAAAGAATCTAATAACAGTATAATCTTGTAACAAGGGGATACAGAGCTTTATTATTTTAACACAAAGTTAAAATGGTTTAGTTTTGACCTTAAAATCAAAATGTAAATCAATCTCTAATCTTTGAGTCTTAAGGTGCATGTTTTATTCTTTATGTTTTATGTGTGAACCACATTTACTGTTACGTTGTGTAAGCTCAATCATCATAATAAAAACTTTTATTACTGCAAGCCACACACTAAAAAGTGTTTGTCAATAATTAAATAACACTAACACGAAATAACAAGCTTCCAGTCACTACGGGGGCAGAAATTCATACAGTGGTTTGTACAGATAAAAATATACATGTTATCAGGTAAGGCACTGCATTAGTATAATATGCCATGTAAGAATGTGAATTAAAAATGTTCTAGTTTCAGGAAGATTTATCCATCCATCTTCATCCG